TTGTACACTTTTGCTTGTTTTGAATCCTGATTCCGCAATAAATACACGACAGCTCGTACCAATTCCCAACGAAGTGCTGGCCATCTTACGTAAATAATTTGGTCTTTTTGCACTACTCCTTTGCCTGATCTACTATATAAATACGTGACGCACTCGATCAACTCTACAAAGGTCTTGCTTAGAACAGTTTACCAAACCTTGTCGTCTGCCGTTCTCCTGGCCCGGGTCGTGTGCAGGCAGAGCATGAGACACGATCGACTCTCTTGTGCGCCACGACTAGGAACTACATGCACACATAGCCCGGTCGCCCCGGTGGTCTAGTGGGTAGCCTCGCAGCCTGCTAAGGGTCAGGTCGTGGGTTCGAGTCCCGGCAGAGTGAGTTTTTTTCTCACTATATAAATCGTGGTCTAGGATGAAAGCGACGCGCTGCAAAGCTCGTTGTTAGTAAACCATAATCGATTTCGTAAGTCGCGAGGGAAGGGATTGCTGTACCCTTCTCGCGATAAAAATACCTCAGGCAGGAACCGCAGGAGGGGGTCCAGCCCCCTCCTCCCATGTGACCCCGGTTGGGTCGTCTAGCTAGTAGAAGGGGAGGATAGGGGCCAGAGGGGCAGACGACAGAGTCCAATGACAGGAGAAAAAAAAAAAAATAGCCATAGGGGCAGACAACAGAGTCCAATAATGGGAGAAAAAAAAAAAAACAAACACGCTTTTTTGTCAGCTCTCGCACAAACTCCACCACGTTGAGGGATTCCCCGTAACGACCAGAGTACTTGGTGGGAAATGTTGCCACAAACCTCGTGGCCGAGCACCAACCAAGCAACCCAAAACCTCCCCCTGTATCACTTGTCAACATTAACACCTACTCCTTAGTTTTATCGGGGCGATTTCCATTGGCACTCACTAGCTTAATTATCCACAGCACTTCCACCTCATAACCGTAAATGAGTTATTTTTGTCCCTCGAGAACACAGATCCACGATTCGAACTCTTTCACTCAGCTTCCCGCTCCGCCCCACCCCGCCAGTATTGCACGACAGGCGGCCCTAGACCTCTCATCTCATCGAGGAAGGCCTGCAACCTGCCTGCCTCCGCTTCCACCTCGATACGGGCGTCTTCGCTTTCGGCCATCCGAGCCGCGAGTCTACGCTCCCGCTGTTTCTGTCTCTCGCGACTTCCGTTTGAGTTCGTTCCGACGAAGGTTTCGTTTGGGTGTTGGGCAAGTACACCAAGAGGGGATTAAGGAGGGGAGGGGGGGGGGCGGGGGGTGAGCTGTACGTCGTTCGGTTTATAAGGATTTACCGGTGTTGGGTTTCACCCATACCCCTGTTGATGAAAAATCTACCAAACATTGGAGAAAGTAGAGCCGCGGGAATCAATGGACGGAATAAACCACCCCCTTTCGTTCACACCTGCTTCGACCGCGTTCGCCGCAAACGAGGCAGGCTTTGCCTGGCCTAGCGCTCTTCTTGCCCTCTCCCATCTCCTTCGCCACGTGGCCCCCTCCTCCTCCCCACTCCTCGGCCCGGTGGCAGTCGCCGCACCTACTGCCACCCTTCTTGCCCGAAGCAGCAGATACCTCTTTCTTCAGCCTGTACACGTCCGCGGTCGCGACGTCGAGCTTCTTGCGGCAAGACGCCAGCTCGTCCCGAAGCTTCGCCGCTGCGGCGGCCGCGCTCCTGTCACCGCCCCGATCGCCACCGACGCCGCCCCCTGCGTCACCCGGAGGCACTATCCGTCTCCTTGCTCGCCGCTGCGCCCACCCGCTACTGCTGCTGATTCCGGGACCAGCACTACCATCACCGCGCTCGCTTCCGCCGGCTGAGTAGGTGCCGTTGTCGCCACCCCGGCTCTCTTTGTGCGGCCGTCTGGTGGCCAAGCATGCTCGTTGCTGTTGTTGTTGTTGTTGTTGTTGTCGTTTCGAACATGACATGCGTCGTGCTGCCTTGGCTTCCAGGGCCACCTCCGCCTCCTTGAGCCTTCGACGGAGGTAGTCAGCCGAAGACTTTTCTCGCGCGGCGGCCTCTATTGCCGAGGCTCTGGAGCATCGAGAGGGAGGGTGGTGGGGTAGTGGGCCGTACTCATATTTTGCATGTCCTAGTTGATCGACTATGGCAGGGGGGAAGGGGAGAAAACGTCGCCGGCAGTACAATATTTTTTGTATGACTCGAAGGAACATGCTGCTCGATTATGCTTCTTCTGTTGCCATGATCCGGCCTATGCCTCGACGCACGGATGGCCGCAATTACGAGTTGCAGTTACACATCGACTGCAAAATAAGTACTCCGGGAGACACCAGCCACATTCAAAATAGACCGCAACTAAACTTCCTCATGCGCACGCGCGCACCCCTCTCACGCCGTGGAAGCAAAAGAGGTACCCACCGCTTGAAGTCGGCCATCTGTTTCGCTGTTGCTGCCGCCTCGGCCTCTGCCGCCCTTAGCCGCGCGCCCATCCTTGCCTGCAGCACGCGCTCCCGCTCCTTGGCCCTGGCCGCCTCTCTCCGCGACTCCTCCTCGGCCCGCCGCCGTTCCGAAACGAGGTCTGCGCGCGCTCCGTCTAGCTCGCACCGGAGGAGCTGAGAGTGTCACGACGATGGCACACTCACGACAGGTAGCAAGGTGGCGCTCTCAATGTCAGCGACTAGGCTGTCAGCAGGGTACCGTTCTCAATGTCAGCGGTATTGGGAGAGAGATCCCGTCTACCGTCTTAGCCTACTGCTGCGCGATGTACTGCAGGCCTTAACGCTAACAGTGCGCCACCGTGGTAGGACCCAAGAGGGGCTATTACGCCACCTGCCCTGGGTGCGAGGCCTCCATATACGGAATTTAGCGGACAGCTAGTGCATGGATCGAAAGCAAACGAACAGGGCAGGAAGAAGCACGCGATCTACTACAGAGAACGGAGTGGTACCCTACGGGACAAGTCAACAACGCATTCAGCCGATTTCAAAGCATTGGAGGGGGGGGAGTGAGAGCGTCACGCGCCACACACGGAAGCGTGGATCGAGTTGTATTCACAATACTTTCTGCGAAGCGGATTTCGTACCAAGCGAACAACAAACTTACATGCTCCGCAAGCTCCAGCTCGGCGACCTTGGCCCGGAGACCTCCTATAACCTCCGGCGCGCCCTCGGACCCTCCGTCGTATTCAGGGTTCCGGGCCCCTTCTGCCGCGGTCAAATCTACGTGCCGCTGTTCCGGCCCAGCCGCTCCACTTCTCGAGGTGGACAACCGATCGGTACGTGAACCTTTCTCGTCGACCCCTGTCGCTATCCTCCGCCTTCCCGCCACGGGTCTCCTATTGCTGCTGCCGACCCCACCACCTACAACGTCTGACGCCAAGCGGCGTGATGAAAACGCTGCCGGGCTTGCGGAGGTACCGACGGCAACCTTCGCCACGGAAGACGAGGTTCCGGGCCGCCATCTTCTACCGCCGACAGAGCTCGCACGCCGCTGCGACGACGCTTGTCGTGCCTCTCCGCCAGTACCTTCGGCAGGTAGCCGCGCCCCGGCGCTCCTGTGGGAGCTTCTCCTACGCGAGCCGAGGGAGCTGGTAGGATCGTCGCTGCCGTTGTCAGCGTTGTTTCCTCCAACGGTCGTGGTCGGCCGCAAGCGCTCTTTGAGATCGAGACCCTCCAGGGCCGCTTCCAGCCTTTCCCGAGACGCCCGGGTCGGGTGGAGAGGCTCCGAGGGCGACCGTGCCGGTCCGAACGGAGGTGTTACAGCGCCCGCGCGCGGGAACGGGGAGGAGTGTGAGGCGTTCGTGGATACTCTGCTGCTTGTTGGTGTTTGCGAGGGACTTTCTTGCTCCTCTCCACCCTGTTTTCCTTCCTCTTCCTTCTTCTCCCTCTTCCCCTCTTCCTCACCAGGGTTTCTGTCCGCGACCCCGACTCGGTTTCGACTGTCGGCGGCACACGCCTCCATGGCCGCCGGGCCCGCTGACGAGTTCGGGGAAGGCACCGGGGGTCTCCTGTCCTTGCTGTTTGAACCTCCTTGCCCGCCACGCTTACCGTCAGTACTAGAGGAACACCCATCCTGCCCAACGGTACCTGACCCGCTGCGTCCCGTTACGCTACCAGAGACGGCGGTAGCGAGCACCGCCTGCACATCGGCGGCGACCCGCCCGAACGCCTCCACGTGCGCCGCGGTGGAGTTAGAGGTGGCGGGACCGCCCGCGTACGCGCTGCCGCCGCCGCTGTCCTTCCCGTCGTCCAACGCGTGCAGCTCTGACAACGACATTCTCGGCGCGAGGCTGTCGGGTGTCACACACCCGTCGCCATCTTCCGCCGCGGCAGCGCTGTCGGTGTTGGTGGTGTGCCTTCTTTCGTTGCTAGGTTCCGCTCCCTGCGGAGACTTGTTCGCTTCGAAGGCACATGCAGCAGAACCAGTGGCAGTGACCGGTATTGCCCGTTGCGGCTGTTCGAGCGGGTTATGGACAAGGGCTGAAAACTCTTGCAAGGTCATTATTAGTCGATCCTTGCCAGATTGATTCCGCTCGTCGATGCCACCACCGGTGGAACAAGAACCCGCGCCGGACATGACCATCTCGACCTCGGTTTCGGTAAGATGAACGCTCAAGGAGGCCAGCCCTTTCTTTAGCTCGCGGCTGCCAATCCCCTCGTGCTGAGCGCCTTCGTCCAGCTGCAGAAACAGCTCGGCCGCCGTGAGTCCGAGCGCAGAACCCTCCTCCACGAGCTCGATCAGGACGCGTCGGACTTCCTCGAACCCTCGTGGGGGCATAATCCAGTCTTCGAAGCGCCGAAAATCGACGCCTTCGCTGGTGCCGACCACTCGGGCCGCGACCCTAGCAGCTGCGCCGTCTAAGACACCAGCGCTTGGCAATGCCGCCGTCGTGGCCGAACTCGTGCGGCTGCTGTCCTCCCGGCATAGTCTTACGAGCGCGGCTTGAAGGTCCCCCGCGCGGAGCAAGGCGGTGTCGCCGGCGGGCGCTCCTCCTAACGAGTTGAAAACAGCACGAAGATCAAACCCGGCTGTGGCAGAAGAAGGAGAAGCCGAGTTTCCAGCAGAGGGTAGTCTCTTTGGTGCTGCGTACATGAGGGCTAGTATGGACGTGCGGGCAGTTTGCTCCAACCGGTCTTCGTCCTCCTGATGCAGTGGGGCGGCGGCATCGGTTGTTTTTTTGCGCGAACAACAGGTCGGGTGTTTGGTGTGTGCGTTGCATGTTTGATCTCTCCCCACATGCAAATTCGCTAGAAACACATGCACCCATGCGAGCCGCTGCTGTATTGCCGAGATCTGTTTGCGGGTGCAAGGGGGGGAGGACGGGCACAACCGTTGCAATGGCGGCGGCCAGACTACGGCTGTACCGAACACTGCCTGTTGGCGCGCTCCTGCCAGGCACCTCCGCTGCTGCCCAATTTACACACATCTCGCACACGTGTATCAACTACTACCGACAGTCTCCACTCATACCTCAGCATCATGTGAATCAACCCTTCCACTAGCAGTAGCAGCAGCAGCGGCGGCGGCGGCGGCGGCGGCAGCTTGATTGTATCCCTCGATCACTCGATCCATGTTTTCCCGCAAAATTTACTTAACCGTTGTGTTTGGCGGGATCGAGGACGCGATATGTGGGAGCGCAACAGGAAAAGACGAGCAGTCGGAGAACATCTGGTAGGCACGCTCGAGAACTCCACTACACAGAAGACGAGATCCTCGCACCCCACTCTTCTCCCCCCTCGTCTCTCTGTGCCTTCGCCCTGCTGTTGTTACTCTGCCAAAACAGCGACATGATATCATCCGCAGCTGTAAGGTCTCAATGCAAGTTGGCGTGTTTATGTCTTGATGAATAAACAGGCAAGCCTTTTCTTCCCGTCCCCCATCCCCTTGTTTTTCCGGCTCTCCAACATGAGGGGTGCAGATGACGTGTCGGCCTCTGCCCTCTTTGACTCTCCATCTTGTTCTCCACGAGAAGCCATGGTTAGGACAGGGTTCGACGTGCGGGGCGTTGCTCCGGGAGTATCGAGCGCTCTCTTGTACCTCGCAGCCCTTAGCACCTTGTCTTGCGGCCATGCCTTCGTGGTTTCTCCTTCAGCTTCGCGAGCTTGTTCTGCTGCCGCGCAAGGGTCATGGCGCGGGAGCAGCAGCAGCAGCAGCAGCCGCCCACGAGTCCGTGCTGGAGGCATGCGTGCTCGAAAGCTTAGAGGGTTAGAGGTGGCAGCGGGAGAGAGCGCGGTGGAGAGCTCGAGCGTGGCGGAGGGCGATGCCATGCGTGTGGGGAAGATCGAAGCGTTTGCGGACAAGGTGAGCTTGCGCTCCCCGTCCTGTCTCTTTGTTTGCAAAGTACGTTTCCAGTACGTGTGTGGATTTTTGCATGTCTCCTCCTTTGTTGTTTTATGTACTCTGTTGGCTACCACTTAGCTACTGCTGTGCTGTGAACTCGGGCGGTTGCGTCTGATTCGAGACCCGCAGCTTTCCCTTCGCCCGCAGGACAACCTTTCCCTCTGCCTAGATTGCCCGAAATCCACAGCACTCAGTACTGGCCGGCGTACGACTGGCACCTGGCAGCAACAAATCATCACACATGAGGTTATGAACAACAGCAGAGTTCTATTGGCCGAGTTTGCCCTTCATCCTCTCGTCTCTCTTGGAAGTCGTTTGCTCGCTTGGATCCACAACAATAGCAGAGTCGCTGGTGCCCTTTGCTTAATCACGAGCACATCGCCATCGCCCGCGCTAGTAGTGTGCGGAGAACTAGTCTGGTAGCGTTCGAACAGACTCCAGAGCGTCAACCTGTAAAATATGTCAGGAACATGTGAGGCAAAGGTGTGGTAGGTTTACACTGGCCGCAGCGCGTGAGAGCGGCTTAGCGCTTCGACACACTGCTGCTGTGTAAAGGGTGTGGTGTGCGACTGAGCCTGTGGCGGCCCATCTGCAGCTCGCCCCTCAAGCTTTCTTCTATTGTTGGTGTGTGCGTGTCTCTCTCTGCGAGGAGCGCGGCCATCATGTGTGCACCCTGTTTGTGTTCTTATCACACAGCAAAGGCGGCGGGGCGGCCGCCCTTTTTTTTTTTTTGCAACGACCCGAAGAGCCGGAACTTTCTTCGTGATTTTTTTGCCTCATTCCAACAGCCTGCAGATTCTTCCTCTAGGTCGATGCCACCGCTAGAAACTTCTGAACGTCTGTTGTCAGGGGTTTGACGCGTCTAATGTAACGAACTTGACCGACACTATCAAGATCGGAACACACGACTGCTACGACGAGACAAAATATCTACAGTTTATTAACTGCCAACCAGGCGGAGCGCCATCACGGCAGAGTCGGTGGAATTACCAACAGCAGTCGCCACAACCAAACCAGCACCAACAAACACCACCGCCCCCGATAGCAACAACGCACGACCTTCTCATCCATACCGTCTAGTTTGACAACTGCAACGGCCAGGCTGCAGCTGTATCCTCTCTCGTTCAGCAACAGCAACAGCAACTCCTAGCCCCTCCGCACACCGGCTACCAGTTGCGTTTTTTTGCGCGAGGGACAAGAACTGCTGGATACATATCCATCGGCCTTTTCCTCCTCTCTGAGATAAAAAACGGCTGTTCAGTCTGCTGGCATCGGCTGCTGCCGCCTGCCCGAGGGAAGCAAGACAGGCGTCGCCTACCGCCCACCCCGCCACCACCATGCAGCACCTGTTGGCGTTCAACGAGAACGTGACCCTCGCCGAGCTCAACGAGGTCGAGCCGTTCTCCCAGGGAGGCTTCTGCGTCATCTGCTCCTGTATCTACCGCGGGCAGCAGGCCGTACTCAAGATCCCCAAGCCGGCGACGACCTCCAGCCGCAGCGGCGGCGCCGCGCAGGACCTCCTCAGGGAGATCTCCATCTACCGCCAGATCTCCCTGCGAGGCGGACACCCCAACATCGCCCGCGCCTTTGGCGCCGGCACCCACGTCCAGCAGGGAGAGACGTCGCCGTCGCCGTTCCTACTGCTGGAGAGGCTCCAGGGAGGCACGCTGGAGAACGCGTTCGAGCGGAGCACCGCGGTCTGGAGCGACCCGATCGGCAGGCTGCCCGTGGCCATCGAGCTGGCGGAGGCGGTGGCGTTCCTGCACGAGGCGGCTATCCCAGGGGGGGTCGTCCTGCACAGGTGAGCCAGCCTGTCGTCTTTGTCTTGTCAGCTGCAGCCCCAGGAGCAGGTGCGGTCTCTATTTGTGGTGAGCTGCTGTTAGTATATCTGCTGTTAGTGAATGGCATGTAGGTGTTGAACGATCGTGGGTCTTGCCGCACACTCTGCCAACCACTGAAAGACTCTCTCGCACCCATTCGAGATGCTACCCCCAGTCTCGTCGTGAGTGCTTGATGTGGGTGTTCTTATGTTTGTCTGCATGCAACTGGTGCGAAGTTTCTTCTGTGTTTTGTGGTTTCATGCCCTTTAGCAAGGTGATGTTTGATTTTGATCTGCAGCAGTAAGAAATGCATGTACATCCGCATATGGCCGCGTTTTTTTCTGCTGCCGATTGGCGTTTTTCTCTCTCTCCAGTTGGTGTTGCGGATTACTGCGCCAGGTGCTAGCAGTAGCAAGCCACGCCGTTACTACCATAGACGTATTTACTCAAGAAGTGTATACCAATGAGGGGCGTTAGCCCGACAGAGTGCAAAAGGTGTGTATCGGCAAAGAACACACGCAGCAATGAAGCATGCGGCAGGACCGACATTTTCAAATTTGGTTTGGAGGAAAATGGTTGATGCTACCCGGTTCTCTTCTTCTGAACGGCAGACCCTATTTATAGTGCTGTTTGTCTGGCCTTGGCATGGGTGGTGTGCCTTCTTCCCCACCTAGTTCTGTTCTTTATTTTTGAAAGCATTCTTTCCGATCTGGGAACGTGATTGTGGGCTCCTGGTGGCGGTATTACGCTTGGAATGTTCGGACCTCTTCGAATGGTCTACAAGACGGTACGCATATATCTACACGATGGTAGCCAGCAAAAACAGCCACTGTTCATGTGTACAACTGCAGCAACGGCCTCACCGCCAAAAGTGTGCGCCAAGAACAGCGGAGGTATTGATTTCTCTTTGACGACTCGAGCAAACGAGTGCCGCACACAGCAGTGCTGTTGTCCGGGTACCTTTTTTCCCGATTCTTCGTCCCGACTGACATCTCGATGCTACACCGATGGTTTACCGCTGTTTTTACCCTAGCAGGGACCTGAAGCCATCGAATATCGGGCTCTGCGGAGCGGGACACATCAAGGTGTTCGATTTGGGGCTTTCGGTCGTGAGGCAGGTGCTTGAAGCGCCTACGAGAGTGTATGAGGTGAGGATGGAGGGGGGGGAAGGCGGGGAGCGGGANGTGCTTGCTTCCTTGCGTACGGATGACAGCTGCGTATGACCTAATTTACTTTCTGGTGCTTTCACTTCCAGAGACAGTTGTTAGCACTTTGTAACTGCCTCGAGGGTGCTTGACCAATTAAACACAACGTGGTGCGATCATCCCCCTTAGCGGAGTGAGGGTTCTCGACCCCGCACAACATGATCTACTCGACCGCCATGATGGTTACCGCCGAAAAAAAACAGAGGTAAAAAAAACAACGGTAACCTGGTTGCCGAGTTCACGAAGTGAATTGGCTTGTTTTACGACGTCGGTG